CATGCTTTTGTGGATTGATATCAGTATTTGTCAGTATCTAGGCTGTGTAAAAGGACATTTCGAAGATAAAATGTGTAAAATATCATTATATATCAACATCAACAAATAAACATTTGCAATCTGTTTTGATGATAGGGAATACTAATTCTGAGCCCCAATTAAGTGAAATGTTATCTCCCCTGAAAAGGAGTTACGTTCTTCTATTTAGTACATCTGTATTACACACACACAAAAAAAAGGTACTCAATTGTTATTACAAATTGTACTTCATAAAGTTCATGGAAAGATTCGTATTATCTTTTAATCCTATTTTTCCACAAACATCGTGAAGTACCCTCATATGTATTGAATTTCATCAATAAAAAATTTGTCGAAATTCATTTTCTCTCCTCCTGTGCATAAGTGCTTACCTAGTGTCCTCAATTTTCTTCTTGGCCCAAAGACTGTCCTTTATAGAAAAAGTTTGCAAACCCCTGGCCCAGAGAATGAACATTTTCTTGTCACTTTGACAGCATTTTATTTTAAGAAAGATGATATTTTTACAGCAAGAAAAATTTGATACAGAGCACATTACTTTTTATAGAAGTTCTAGGGCTAACTGGTTAGCTTAGCTGGTTAGAGCACAGCCTTATAACACAAGGTCATAGGTTCAGATTCCCATACCAGCCAGCTGCCAAAAAACGTAAATAAAAAAANACAAAAAAAAAAAAAAAAAAAAGGAAAAAAAAAATCATAGCAAATTATTGTGAGTGGTTTTCTTGGCTCTTGATGAGTTGACAGATGTCACTGATACAGCTCAGTTCTTACTTGGAACCAGTGCCAAGGTTGAAGTGACTAAAGTCTTCTTGTCACTTTGAAAATTAGTTTTTGCTGCAGACTTGAAAATGTTTCTTAATGAAGCCAACCTAAAATTACTTGACAGAACAGTGCTTATATGCAAAACTTACATTGCATTCGAGTCACTTGATGACAGTTAAACTGTTTGAACTGTAATATCAAGGTCTTTATGCACTTCACATGCTGTCAAAAGTTAGAATAGGAAGCAAGATCTCTATCCCAAACAGATTTACAGTAGATATGTTTCCCAAGCTCAAACTACAGTTCCAGCGGTGTTTCTGGACATCAGTGCAAATGAAGAAGAAATTTTCATACTTCAAAATCCATTTAACTGTGCCACTGAGGAGCTTTCACCTAACCTTCGATTGGAAGTGATTCACCTGCAGTGTAGTAATACACCAACAGGCCAATATCAAAGGGAAATGTCTGACAGAATTCCATAAGGACCTTCCAGGTGGTGAATATGCTTCATAAAAATCATGCTTTTGTGGATTGATATCAGTATTTGTCAGTATCTAGGCTGTGTAAAAGGACATTTC